CCTGTAGTCTCAGCTACATGGGAGGATCACTTGAGCTCGGGAGGCTGAGGCTGTAGTGAGCCATGATCGTGCCACTGTGCTCCAGCCTGGGCCACAGAGCAAACCATGTCTCAAACAAACAAAGAAACAAACCCCACTTTTTTATCACAAACAAACTCCACTTTTTTTCTTCTTTGCTCAAATTAAGTAGATGATATTTTCTTGCTGGTACTAAAAAGGATAAACAGATTAAAAACTCAATGTTAGAAAATATCAGGAAGACCCTTACTGATCAGAGATTCCTGATTATTACAATAAAAGAAACCAGACTTAGGCTCCTGGATCCCGGGGAAGAGAAACTCAGGCCACCTTAAGGAAAACAGAAAAATTGCAAGGATATCCACTGACCAGAGTAGGAAAAAACTAGAAAGCCAGCAGGAAATAAGGTAGCTTCAGGGTCCGGTGACTCTTTTACATGGTTACTGTTGTAAGACAACTATGCATCTTGTCCACTCTTAAAAGGACTGCCCAATTCTTAGTTTTCAGTCAAAATTCTGAAAGAAGCCTGTCTGATTCACTTACATAATTCTCAACAAACTTCCTGGGCTGAGCCCTTTATACTAAACTACTTCATCAGCTAGCCAAAGGAGGCAGCATCCATATGATTGGCATCATTTTTAATACGTTGTATCACTCAGCGTCCAGTCCAGAGACAGAAAACACACAGTAATTCCAAGAGGGAAAGTTTGAAACAAACAATTATTAACTAGTAATGGGGTTAACTACCAAAGGTAAAGAGAACTCTAAAAAAATACAGTAATAGTGGATGTAGGGAGCAGCCACTACCTCTAGTGCTGAGGCAGAGGACCCAAGAAAAGAACAAATTTGGGGGAAGTGGCCAGCCACAGTGGCTCACATCTGTAATCTCAGCACTTTGGGAGGCCAAGGAGGGAAGATTGCTTGAGGCCAGGAGTTCGAGACCAGCTTGGAAACACAGTAAGACCCCGTCCCTATGAAGAAAAATAAAAATCAGCCAGTTGTAGGGGCACCCGCCCATAATCCTTCCTAACCACTCAGGAGGCTGAGGCTGGAGGATGGCTTGAGCCCTGGTTGAGTCTGCAGCGAGCTATGATTGTGCCACTGCACTCCAGCCTGGGTGACAGAGCAATGCTCTAAAACAACAACAACTGAAAAAACAAAAAACAACAAACAAAAAATGAAAACATTGGGAGATGTTCCCTTGCAAGACTGAGATTCAGACCTTGTTGGTGAGGGTACAGTTGTGAAGCTGAAGGTTGGAGCCGGAGAGCAGACGTATCAACAAAAGTAGCTAGGAGGCCACCCACTGGGGTGCCACTGAGACTTACTGGGAAACCTGTGAGGTCCTGCTGAAATTCCTGAGCAGCTGCCTGCTGGAGCACTAGCAAACTTGCTGGGAAGCTGGCAGGGGGACTTGTGGACGGGGGGAACTCCCACTTCTCTCAATGAGACGCTACTGAAATTTGCTGGGGGATATGTATTGCTGGGTGCTCTACATGCCAGTGGCCCCTACACAATGGAGAAGCAAAAAGAAAAAAGAAAGCACACCGCTCTGCCGCAGCTCCCTGCAGCATGCTCCACTGACAAGCTTAACATTATGCCAGCTGGCAACGGCAAAACGTTTAAAAGGCCCAGCCCAGAATCACGAAGCAGGGAAATAAAAGGTGAATGTGGAGCTAGAAAATGTATAGATACCTGGCACATCCACAAATCACTGGCTGTCCCTGCACAAGTTTCGGCATAACTCATGGAACACTTCATTCAGGACATGTTCACTGAACCAGTACCTGGACTGGCTGGATGAGTGTTGCATTTAAGACATTCCCTCTATTGGTATAGTCCAATATCCAGGACACTGACTTCAAAATTTCTAAATAAGAGGGAAGGAGAAGACAAGAGGTCTTCCCTTGCATTTGCTCAGCAAGCACTGCTTGTTTTCACTTACATTATATGTTTATTTTGGATGTCAGGGGTTTACAGCTGATGGAATTTGTTGGAAGGCGGGGGCAGGGATGTGTGTGACTAATTGCACTGACTCAAGAAATAGAGAAATAATTCAGCTTCAGAACGGCCAGAACAAGAATCAGCCAAGGAAAACCACCTGAAGATTGGTGGACTTTAAGTACCTGCAGATCAGGGAAGCTTATGGGAGGATTTCTTTGCAATAAGTAGTTCCTTTTCCAATCTTTGTGGCAAAACCTCAGGGCTTACATGAAATACTGTTAAGGTCAGTTCTCTGTTTATACAACAGGCTGAAAAGGCACTCCTCACCCCCTAACACACACACCTGGATACATATCTGTGCAACACATTGTGGATCATGATTATGTAAATAGAAATTCTTTGAATATCAATGCTCTGAGAAATCAAATAATGGATTTTAAGTCAGCCATGACGCTAACATTTTCCAGTTGTGCTCTTGCTGTCATGCAGTTTCCCATAATAACAAATGTTGATAGACAATGATCCCAATAAATGCCATTTCAGAGGTATTTGCAAAGTGCTGTGGGACTTTATAAGACGGAATGATGGAGGGGGAATTTCACAGAATGACACTACCAAGAAGCGTTTCCTGCCACATGAAATCATCTCTACTTAGAGGTCCTATAATGTAGTCATTCAAGGCTGATTTCAGTATTTACGTAATAGAATCAAACTAGGGCCAGAATCAACACCCATCAGTTGGCCAATATCACCTGAGAATGGGTCAACTAGTGTTTGAGATTGCACGTTGGCATCAGTTGAAAGATGTATGAACTGCCAGTAGTGGGACCTCATCTCTACTAACCAAAAGCTTTATATTCATAAAGGACAACTTTTAGGGAAGAGAATTAAGTGAATACCATTGCCATTTTTTCTCCCTCTACACATTTAAGTGAAAAAACAAAATAGATATTGCCTTTGGAACTAACTGCCTAAGTACTCTTAGGAACTTAAATTTCTGGTTTATTATGCTATTAGTTTCCAAATGCTGTACATCTAAGCATAGCTTAAAAAAAATCAGTTAATGAGCAGAACCAAAGTCCTAGGGCAGTTTGTGAGTTCCTTTGAAATTACACACAAATTTTAGGGTACTTTTTTTTTTTTGAGACAGAGTCTCCGTCACCCAAGCTGGAGAGCAGTGGTGAGATCTCAGCTCACTGCAACCTCTGCCTCCCAGGTTCTAAGCGATTCTCCTGCCTCAGCCTCTGGAGTAGCTGGTTACAGGCGCGTACCACCATGCCCGGCGTATTTTGTTTTTATTTTTTGAGATGGAGTCTTGCTCTGTCGCCCAGGCTGGAGTGTAGTGGCTTGATCTCAGCTCACTGCAACTTCTGCCTCCTGGGTTCAAACGACTCTACCTCAGTTTCCCAAGTAGCTGGGACTACAGGTGTACGCCACCACACCCGGCTACTTTTTGTATTTTTAGTAGATACGGGGTTTCACTGTGTTAGCCAGGTTGGTCTTGAACTCCTGACCTCGTGATCAGCCTGCCTGGGCCTCCCAAAGTGCTGGGATTACAGGTATGAGCCACTGCACCTAGCCCATATTTTGCATTTTTTAGTAGAGATGGGGTTTCACCATGTTGGCAAGGCTGGTCTCAAAACTCCTGACCTCAGGTATCTACTGGCCTCAGTCTCCCAAAGTTCTGGGATTACAGGCATGAACCACTGCACTCTGCGGGGTACTTTTTTTTTAGACAGGATTGTAGCTTTCATCAGATTCCTAAAAATTGGGCCCAGAACTCAAAAGTTAAGAACCATTGCGTTAGAGGAACTGAGAAACTAAACCAGAGTAAGAGATAAACAGGGCAACATTAAAATGAACATTTTATATTAAAAGTTTAAGATTGATGATATACTAGCCCATGTATAGAATTTAATTGCAAACTGAACTTTAACAGGCAAAGATATTAATACATGCAAAGGTGAAATCATTTCAGTGAGTTCAAAACTGGATGGAGGATGCTAATTGTATTAAGCTGTATTAAATTTTTTAAAAATTATACTTTAAGTTCTGTGCATAAATTACACTTTAAGATACATGTGCAGAACACACAGGTTACCTAGGTATATGTGTGCCATGGTGGTTTGCTGCACCCATCAACCCGTCATCTACATTAGGTATTTTTCCTAATGCCATCCCTCCCACCTCCGACAGGCCCCAGTGTGTGATGTTCCTCGTGTCCCAATGTTCTCGTTTCAAGAAATGTGAGATGTCTTTCATAGCCACTTGTTTTCCCAGTTTCTTAGGAAGCCACTCTCCAAATAAATCATGCATATATATAGCAATAACTAGCACAATTTACATGTTCTCACACCTACCATAATTTTCCTCAAAAGCAAACATATTTAAAAATCGTAAGGGCCGAGCATGGTGGCTCACACCTGCAATTACAGCGCTTTGGGAGGCTGAGGTGGGTGGATCACGTGAGGCCAGGAGTTCAAGACCAGCCTCGGCAACATGGTGAAATCCCATTCCTACCAAAAATACAAAAAATTAGCCGGGTCTGGTTGTGGCATGCACCTGTGGTCCCAGCTACTCAGGGGGCCAAGGTCGGAGGATCACTTGAACCAGGGAAGTGGAGGTTGTAGTGAGCAGAGACTGCATCACTACACTCCAGTTTGGGTGACAGAGCCAGGCCCATCTCAAAAAAACAAAAACAGAAACAAACAAAAAACAAAACCACCACAAGAAAACAAATGTAGTGACTATCATCAAACTATCAATCAAGGTGATAGTTCTTTCACCTCCATTTGAAATTATTTAAATTCTTTCCACATTTTACCTAAAATACAGTCAGATAAACATTTCACATGGAACCATATCCAAAGTAGTAGCACCATAATTTAGGTATGCTAAAAATGGATTTTCAACACAAATCTAGTGGCTTTCACATTATACAATATGTTTTCTAACTTCTGGGTGTCTATAGTACTAATTCACTTGATGCTCAATTTAAAACACAATGGAACTTTCTTAAAAAAGAAAAAAGCGTATCATTTTTTGATGAATTCATTTAATGAGATTTTTCTAAAATGGAGTGGTACAAATGTTAAGCCCACATATGGAGGACTCTTGCAAGTGTACTCATTTGCTCCATTTAACACTTTTGCAAGGTGGCTTCTGAGTGCGCATTAGTTGGCCAGTATAACTAGTGAGATAAAACAAACGTCAATGTGCATGCCAGGTTCACTACACTGTCAGAATACTCAGTTTTAGCCCTAGCACTGACAACATTACTTTGGGCCTCTATTTTCTTTTCTAAAAAGAACTGGGTGAATTATCTTAAAAAATTTCCTTCAAGTCCAAATTTTAAAAAATGCTAATATATTGTCCAAGTAAAGGATATCCCAATAAACATCTTTGACATGGAACAAATTAATCAAGTGACACGTAACCACTGACAAACGGAACTGCCATTATCAAGAATTCTAATAAAGATTATTGATCACCACATGCCCAATCCCAGTCTCTGCATTTCTTTAAAATTCACTTGTCCCCTGGGAACTAAGACATCCCTGTACACAAAGTGCGACTCTACTGACGTTTCATCAATTTCCACAATAAAAACATGTTTTAAAAAAAAAAAAGTTAACAAATGGGGGAAAAGCCAAGACCCAGGATAAAGGATTTAATCCAGTATTTATTCCACACTCATGATGGTTCTCTGTAATCAGAATACAAGTCATAAGAACAATCTATCAAATTTGCTGATAGTCTTAAATAATGCAGCACAGCATTACTTTTAATACTCCTCTGTTCTAGATTAAGTTTAAAAACTCAAACAGCAATCTCCATTATCAATAAAAAAAGTTTGGAATTTTAAAAAAAGGACACTATATCAAGCTGTTTCATAATTTAAGGATTTTCCATTTATAAAAATGCTTTGGAAGCTTGACACTCGAATCTGTTTCTCTACTCATTTGCCCCACCCTCTCCCAATTACATGTTAGTATAGGGTTCTGCAAGAATGCTAGGCTTCAGACATTAATTTTTTTCTTTAATATAGTACTTTAAAATCTGAGAAAGAATTCAAGAAAAAAGGATTACATGTCATGTATTTTTTTCAAATAAAAAAGGAAAACTAAGTGAATAAATTTTAGGCATACTAAGTGTCCCTTTGAGGTAGAATGCTAAAAGGACTTTTGATGAAATCACAGCCTAAAAACCTCTGCATCAGAAACTAACTTCTCATAAATTCTCTCTAAAGGTAACTGTGGAGAATATTAAGTGTAACATATTAACAAGAGCCTTCCAAGATAATATACAGTGGACAAGAATGTTAATCCTACAATGCTGCCTTCATGTACATTGGCAGCACGTATTTCTCCTACAACAGACATCCAAGTTCCATTCTCAAAGTCTTTAGCATTCTATTACGAAAAGCACAGCCATGCTAACTTCAGTACACAAACCATAATCCCACACCTACAAAACAAAAATAGATTAGTGGCAGTTTATTGCCTTATACAAATTTAACCAACATGGCAACCATGCCAAAGGAATTAAAACATTTTCAGGACATATGTACAGACTGTACATTTCAAAAACAAACAATAAAAATGCAAGAACAATCTGTGCATCATGTATCAAACTTAACAATTGGGTGAAAACACCAATGCAATAAATGGAATTACAAAGGCACTTCCCTACACAAAAGAGGAAATGAAAATGCAGTCTACAGGGAGAGCTTGAGGAGTGCGAACTACTGCACAATCTCAACTTGGGGGAAAAAAAGCAGATTTAATCATTTATAGGATTCAATGTGATCCACTTTTACAAAATATTTTCACACAGTCTCATCTTTGTTTTTATGCTGTTTTTCTTGGCTCTCTCGTTCTATACTTTGGCTCCTTCGACGATCATGTTTGTCTGACTGGTCCTTACTATCACTGTGATCTCGTTTGTGGGAACGTTCTTTGCTTCCACTACGCTTTCTAGATTTTTCTTTGCTGGGACTATGTTCCCGTTTTTTTGATTTTTCAACACTGTCAGTTCTTCCTTGACTGCCACTTCGACTTCGTTTATTTGATTTTTCTTTACTTTCATTTTTATGTTTACTTGATTTCTCTTTGCTTCTACTTCTACTTCGTTTCCCTGCATTTCTACTTCGACTCCTACTTCTGTGTTTCCTTTCTCTGCTTCTGCTTCTACTGTGTTTTTTCTCTTTCTTGGAATCTTTTTTGTCATCTCTGTGCCGCCTATCATCTTTGTCTTCTTTATGTTTCTTCTCTTCTACCTCTCCCCTACTTCTCTGTTCCTTGGACCTTTCTCTTGATCGCTCTCTCTCTTTTTCTCGGTCATTTCCTCTTTCCTTATCATAGTCACGATCTCGTCTTCTACCTCTCTCATTTTCTTTCTCTCTTTCTCGATCCCTGTCCCTTCTATCCCCTTTCCTATCACGACTTCGACTGCGACTTCTATGCCTTTCCCTACTTCTGCTGCGCCTGCGTTCTAACCCCCGGTCAATACTTCGGGATCTTCGCCGTTCTTTCTCCCTTTCTTTGGCTTCACGCTCTAGTCGCTGGCGTTCTTTCTCTCTTTCTAATTCTCTGTCAAAACTAGAAGACCCATGGCCCTCCCGATGATGACTTCTACTTCTTGATCTTCTTGGGGACCTCCGTGGACTCAGAGATCTCCTTGGAGACCTAAGGAAGGCGGAGGGAGAAAGAAAATTTCAATGAATAAAACATGAAATTCTTTTCATAGTAATTTTCAACAGCATTATTTATTCAGGTCCTCATGCTTAAGTCCATGTCAAGAATCATCAAAGCAAAAAAGTTTACTGTTCTCATTTACAGATGCATAATGTTACAGAAAAAGCCCTGAAAAGAAGAAAATAATCTTTGGGGGGTAAAAGTGACAAACTAATAAAATGAACAGTAAAATTCCTAACAACGTACTATTTCTCAGAACCATTAACTTTGTATAAAACATATAAAAAATAAGCATAATTCAAGAGTGACATTACCTTGAACGTCTGCGTTCAACATGTCTGTCTATTTCCTCAGCACCTTCCTTCCCATCTTTCTTGATTTTTCTAGGTCGGGTTTTAATCTGCTGATCAATATTCTTTTGAACTGGAACTGGAATTCTTGGAAACAAGGTAGAAAACCACTCCAGTTTTGTGAGAAAAGATCGTAGCATTTCTCCAATGGTCATTACACAGCCTCCACCAGCCTTCACATCTAGGTCCTACAGAAACACAAAAGATACCCTAGCCGTCAAAAAAAGTATTTCCATATATACATTAATACTATAAAAATATGACCATCTTTGGAATCTCAATATAAAAAAAACTAACAGAAAAATTTTATTTTCGTATCCTAATCTGACAATGAATGAACAGAAATATTTGGGCTTAGTGTGTGCATGCAGGTGAGAACAAACCCTGCAGCCTCACAGGTATAAAGGCAACTGATCTCACTCAGTTAACAATATGAAAAAGCCCCTTACATTTCTAAACTATGCGGAACGATTGACTTAAATTTACATTCCACATACCTACTATGTATTTATTTCTGTGGACATATTTGCACACATCATATACCTTGCACCATAACCTAGCTACATATCATCTACTTTAGATAATTCCTGTCTAACGGTTATCTTTTAACAGCTCTAATATAAAATGAAGCCCTAATAAAACTGGAAGCAATAGCAAACCAACTGCCATGAAGCAGTGAGGTTTCTAATTTAGTTATGTAGAAAATAAATAAATGAACAAATAATTGGAAACGCATAATCCATGATGACCATTGTCTCTGAAAAGGGTCATTACCGCATGAAGGCCTTCTTGCTATGCCCTCTCACAGCTCAGGACATGTTAGTCAGCTATTGTCAGTCCCAAACCTATAGTGCAAGCACACAAGGAAAGTGAGATTTGTTATCTAAACAGGAAAACAAGAGCTAAAGGTAAAACTGCTTGCACTCACACACATTTAAGTGTTCAGATATACAGTATATCCAAATATAATCGCTGCAGATATCTAAGGAAGAAAACAATAAGTTAGCTTAAATAGAGGACCTCAGATTTGTAAACACAATAAAAAACATAAAATAGAGGCATCCAGAAACAAAACCAATACAACACCAATTATGATGAGGAACATGCTTTTTTAAAGACAGAAGGGAGAAGTGCTTCAGTATGAAAAACTCATCTAAAGATAAAAAACCCTTAAAGATTGTGATTTAAAACACGTTTTGCTTCTTCTGAGTTATTAAGTAACTCAGTTAACTGGCAAAAAAAAAAAAAAGAGTAGAGAAAAATAAAAATTCTCCATGTCTAAACGAGATCTTTTTTTTTAAGGTGTGCATGTAATAACAAACCACAATAGATTTCCATTAGAACCATCCTTAAATTCAATAAATTCTTTGGATGAACTCTGTAAATAGACTACTGACATACAGCACTCAAAGTCTTTATGAACCTTAAAACACAAAATAGCAGAGTGGGTAGACAAATGGACAATACAGCTCATCATTTCATTTTTGAAATGTTGGACTTCACCATGTAAGTAAATTAATGCATATATGACATTTTGTTTTGAGAAAGGGTCTTACTCTGTTACCCAGGCTGGAGTGCAGCGGCAATGATCTCGGCTCACTGCAAATTCCACCTGCTGGGCTCAAGTGATCTTCCCACCCCCGCCTCCCAAGTAGCTGGGACTAATAAGATGCATACCTATATGCTCAGCTAATTTTTAAACCTTTTTTTTTTTTTTTTAGAGATGAGGTCTCACTATATTGCTCAGGCAGGTCTTAAACTCTCAAAGTGTTGGGATTACAAGTGTGAGCCACCATGCCCAGCCAATGCATACACAATTTATTTTTTATTATTCTCCTCTAGTATATGCATGCATATATGATTTAAATCTAACTTAGTATTTCAGATTTCAAATTAGAGAGACTCAAATTACAATTTAAAAAAAAATTCTTTTTTAAAGGTACATGTGGTGTACTAGGAGTCAGAAAGCTAGAATTAAAATTTTGTCACCTTGAACAAGTCACCCAAACACTTAGCCTATTTATGTAACACCCAGTTCTTCAATTCAGCACTTCTATGCAAGTGGGAATACTGATATATGGAAGAAGTTAGAGGGTGAAGAACTGAAATGTTCCAGAAGAAACAAAAGCTACAATTAGTATTCCGTGTGCATGTATTTTATTATCACCTCGATCTTAAGCATGCCCCATCTTGAAAAATCACTATTAACTATACAATTCAGGATCAATGCAATACACAGAACATAATTAAGAAGTGAAAAATTTCCAATAATTACCAAACACATTTAAACAATTTTAAAACAAGAAAATAAAACTTCAGAAATTTACCCTGCAATATATAAAAGCCATCAGGTCTCAGTAAAAGGACATTAATTCCAAAAGTATCTGACTGAAATAAATTTAACTACAGGAAATTCTTGAAGACATTAAACCACCAATAAATAAAAGATAATAAAAATATGAGAGTAATCAGAAGAAAACAAATTATTACCCTTGTTGACATACCTCTTCATCATCAAGGAAGGATTCAAACCAGTCCCATAGATCTGTAGGGGGCTGTGTATATCTAGAATTACAAAAGACTACTATTAAACATATGTGAATTAAAATGAGATATTTCCTGGAAATGTACATAAATGCACGCTCACCTTATATACATAAATCCAAGAGCTCTAATATATGGAGAGTCTGTGTGTGTTATAAGACCCATCACTTGCTTTCGAGTTAACTTCAGGGTAAATAATTTGTATAACAGGCAAAATGCTGTAGAAACAATTCCTCCTGTTCCAACACCTCGAACCTTTAGGGGAAACAAGAGTTAAGAAAAAGCAGTAAAATAATTAACAGACTCTTAACACCAATTGATTAATCCTGTTAGGTATTAATAACAAGTCATAATCCAGAACTAAGAAACAAGCATTAAAAAGTAACACTTTTCTAACCCTATTTCACTGAACACTTGAATTTAGATTAAAAAAATTGTCACTCAAGTATATAATTGACAGGCCTCTAGTTCTCTAAATATAAACTTAGTTATCAGAAACAGAAAAACTGAAAAATGCACGTACTTCTACTTACCCCTCCGCACATCCCTGTCTGGCCCGCTGTTTTCCTGCTTCCTTTCTCCCATGGTTCAACGTGCGTGACCTGAAAATAGAAAAGAGGAACACAACAAACATTCATACTTTGAATTTGTTTAAAAGCCTGATAAAAGTATACCCAAGTCCATAATAGAGCAGCTCTTCCAAAATTATTTTGGCATTAAGTATATGTTTACTGACATTAAGTGTGTAAATCATTTTTGGAAAAACTGCTTAGACATTTAAACAACACCCAAAAGCTACTAGGGTTTAACAAAACCTTAATAGCTTTGCAGAGGAGAAATCCCACTAAACTGGCCTTATAAAGAGCTGATATCTATATCTGGGAGTCAGAAAATTTCTATAGTCTCCCTTGGTTGTAAAAACTATTTGATAACATTTTAACTTTGATAATATTTGATAATATTTTAACTTATGAGTTGCTTTTAAAACATTTTCCTTTAAAAATGGATTTAAGTCTCCAATTTAAAGCAAAAAGTATTAATGACGTTTAAGCATTAATTTGAAATACTTGAAAATATCTTTAATAGTTCAATTTTATTGTAATTTAAAATCTACATTATAAAATTAAGGAAAATTACTGGAAAAATCTCTAAAACAGTAACAGGTTACTTGTGATGCAAAATTATGGAACTTTTTATTTGTACATTTTTTTCCACCAGGGTCAGGTTTATTCCTGATTAAAGATAAAATTACAAAGGCCACACTTACAGAGATCATTGTTGTAATTAAGCTTCAGCCTAATTATGTGTGAACCAATCCAATTATTCCCCAGAATATAAGTTATGTCAAAAACTGAGTATGACTAGTCACAGGCATATACTAAGTATCATCAAAGATGATACAGCATCATATTTGCTATAAGGAACATCTTACAAAAACCATTCCTTATCTAAAAATAGCAACAACAACAACAAAAGAATATTAGCTCTATAATAGAATCCAAAAAGGCCTTTTGGGAAGACCCATTTTTGTTTTTTTAAAAACATACAAAAAAAATCCTGTTTTTTCACTACGTATTTCTAAAATTCTATTTCCACCCACACATGGTAAATTTTGTAGTCCTGAATAATGGCTTCAGATAGAAAATCATGCATTTAAGTTTAAGCACTACACTATTTCGCAGTGCTTTAACGTTTCCTTTACTCCCCACAGACTGCTATGTAAAAGATGTTTCAATTCCTTAAAAGCTAGCCAAAGTCAGGGCTGGATGTATACAAAATAAAATTACAACGTTGGAAACTTACATATTTCAGTGAGTATTTGATCTGAACGTCTTAAGTCCTGATAATATTAGTAAAAAGCTGGGTCTATTAGTTTTTTAACGGAATTTAAAAACAATTCCTGGTAGAATCTTGTTTCAAAACACATTTGAAACTTAAAAACGAGACTTTCCTCTATTACATTAACATTTTGCCTATGTTAGAAAACAGAACCTGCTGCAAAAAGAGCAGGAACCCAATTTTCAACTGCTTAAAGTTTACTGCATAAATAAAGCTAAGGATTAAATGTTATTCACCATACTGTATCCATGCTAAAAAGGTCTTACCTTTTAAAAGCTAAAAAAACTAATTCATAGAATTATAATCAGACCTACTCTCGTAAGAGGATTCCAAATTTATCTGTGTACTTTATCAACCCAAAGTTGAACTGTATTCCTCAAGATATGTTTTCTATAAAAAGCAACTAATCTCTCAAAATCCTTCAATAACCTAATTACTCAACTGGGGGAAAAGGTGGGCAAAACGAAAGAGAATGTCCTTTTGTTACCATCTCTACAGGTACGTTCAAACGACAGAAAACACTTTGTGTGGTCTGTCGAGTTTTTAAAAGTCAATATAGACAAAAATGGATTGTATATTAGATGCTCCGGATAAAATATTTAAAGACCATTAAGGCTATTATTAATATTCTTTAAAATAGAAATTAACCTTTGGAGGCCTGGAAGGTATTTTTTACACTACCTAATTTGCAGGGAAGTGGAAAAAGCCTACCTAACTGGTGAAGGACCAAAAGCAATGGCCAAAAAAAAAAAAAAAAAAAAAATCTAATTAGCCGTTCATTTAACCAGGGAAATGCATTTATGGCGATTGAGCATGATTAATAGTGCATACCTCTACCTGCGACCCTGGGCTGCTCCGAGCCTCGCTGCAAGACTGAGTCAATCCTGCTAACGAAACAAGAACTGAGACAAGAGTGCAGTGAGGAGGCGCCAGGTGAGCTCCCCAGCACAGCCAAGCCAGCACCGACCCTGCCGCAGAAGCCCAGGGCCCAGATAATTCTAAATTAGCCCAATGCACAGGTGGCTGAGACCTCTTACTCCTGACTTCCTGCTGGGAAAATTTCCAGGCCTTCTGTACACCTCTTGAAATGGCACCTCTCCACCCTCATCCCCCCAACCCCACCCGACACACACGCACTGACCATTTCCCTGTCTGGATCGGATAGTGAGTACCAACAACACGAGGCCAATACTGAAGTCATTACACGCCCTGGCCAGGGGTGAGCGGGAGAAGCACCAACAAGTTGGCGCTCAATAGATCCACGTCAAAAGGAATAATTTTAAAGCTGTAAACTGGAAAGGCTTCTGTTACTCTTTCCTCCTCTCCCCAATCCCTCTTGCCGAACTCCCCCCAGGGGTGGGCAGAAGGTTGGGGGAGGAGAGAGATCAATAGTGGCGGGCTCTCCCGGCTCTAAAAATCTAAAATGGAAACGAGAGGGCGGCCCCAGTCCGACCCCTCCCAGAGAAGACTACAGGCCGCAGCTCCCCCTCCGCCGAACCACCTTCCCCCACCCACAAATCTTCAGATTTCGGGGGCCGCCTTCGCCCGTTTCCTCCATACCCCCTCTTTCGAACTTACCCCCAAAGCCAAGGCCTACACGCTTCGTACCTTAAAGTAGATCTCGTCCACCACCTCGTGGTAGGTCTTGAGCTCGTAGAGCTGTACTTTGAAGTAAGGCGACGACAGGATGTTGGTCAGGATCATGGGGTTGAGGTTCATGGTCTTCTCGTTGCCCCAGAGCGGGAGCACATTGCCCTGCTTGCCCGAGACCGCCGGCTTGGTAGCGCCGCCGCCGCCGCACTGCTGCTGTTGCTGAGCCGCAGCAGCGGCGGCCTGGTGCTGCGGCTGTGAGTTGCCTGTCAGCGCGGGGCTGTTGTTAGCCATGTTGCGGCGGAAGGAAGGAAGGAGGGAGGGAAGGAAGGAGGGGGGGGAGGGGGCCAAGCTCGATCTCGCTCTTCGGGACAACGGTCTGGGACCCTACTCCATGGAACGTCGTCGGGAGAAGGGGCCGCCTTGCTGTGCCCCAGCCGGGCAAGAGAGGGCACCCAGGGCGCCGACAAAAGGACCCCGGGCCGAGAGCAAACAGCGAAACCCAGTCCGCGAGAACTCCACGCAGAAGAGGAGCCGGCGGCAAGTGAGCTCGATCTCTTCCGCCAACTGCCCCTGGGAACAAGATGGCGGACCCGGCGGATATGACGCCACGCACCCCAGCGTTCCAAGCTGAACTGCCGGCCAATCAGAGACGCCCAGGTGGGCTGGAGCGTCCTCTTCCTAGTTCCCCGCGTTCTCTGCACCCTGAAGTCGCTGCAGTGACCTCCCTACCTGACTCTTAGGGGATTTCCCCTGAGAATTTGGGGGCCGGGGGGAGAAGGTGGTAGGCTTAATCTGTTGTTGTTGTATTTTGACTGGGGGCTTGATTTCTTTTGTCGAGAGCTGAACCAGAAAGGGTTCGCATGGCTGCGATGTGCTTGCTAATATCGTGACTCTTGACTCCTGCAGAGTATCCGAGAGGGTCTCCTGGCGTCTGTTTTAAGGTTCTCTGGAAGGGACAATGGTCAGGGACCCCACTCCTCCGGGAGATTCTGATCAAAGGTCACGTCCTTCGCCAGCCTCTAGTGTCCAGCCAGAGGTCTTAAATTTATTCAACCGTAAGATTGAGATGACATCTGCCTGGGCTGTTGAGAGCACTGAAAAAGCTAATATACTTGTGGCGCTTAGTATACTGTTCCAGGCCTCTGGTAGGCGCCTTTTCTTTTCTCCCTGCTCCGGATCTTTCGATTCTAGGAATGTGTTCGGAGTGGTAAACATTGGGTAAGATACTGTGAAATGGGAATGGGGGTGTGAATGTGTGGGGAGTTTGAATGTTGCAATCTTAACTTCAGTGGCGCATACACAGAGGAGAAGAAAAGAATGACGATGGAAACTTTCGGGAAAATCCCATCTGGATGAAAATAAACCAGGAGGAGAGAGAGAAGACAAGCAGAAAAGTAGGTAAACCAAGAGACAGTTGTATGACAGAATACAAGGAAACAGAAAAAAATAAATAATGAATTGAGTGACTGATTAATGTTTAGAGCTGTACAGTACAAAAGTGGTAATCCTGTCCGGTTCCTTTGTTTTAGGTTGCAAGAGAACTAGAACCCTAAGAGGAGAAGCAGTTTTCACCTTCTTAGTAGCAAATCTTGTTTTTCTCTATAGTGGTTTTTATTAACTTCCAAAGGAAAACTGAAGATCCTAACCCCTGTGTCATGAGTTACCACGTTAGAAGTCCATAGAAAAAAAATTTTTTGAACCCAGTTCTTTTTGTGTATATATTTTTTGCCTTGATAATAATAGTTTATTGAGTTTATCGAGTGACACATTGCCTAATCGTATGGCTTATTTTTAATTCCTCAGATACATGATCTTTCTGTATAGTCTTAAACAGTCTTTACCCCTAGTCACTTTGGATGAAAAGCTTGGTAGAGAGGTTGAGTTTGATATCTAAGTGTCAGTGGCATCAAACTCAGGGAGCCAGGTATTATGATAAAGTGCTTAACATATTCAATGAATCCCTACAACAGGCTGAAGATGTTATTTTTATCACCATTTTAAAAAATGTTTATTCACTTGTAATTGAAGACCTCTACGCTGCACATATATAAAGCTGTAAGTTTGGTTTGATCAGTTTTGACATATATGTATACCCATTAAACCATTACTACAATAAAAATAATCTTCCGTCATTCCCAAAAGTTTTCTTGTGCCCTTTGTAATCCATCTCTCTTTCCAACTTCATACCGAAGCAACCACTTTCTGTCAGTAGAGACTATTTTGCATTTTCTTGAATCTTAAATAAATGAAATCATACACAGTGTTCTCTTTTTTTGCCTCCTTATTGCATGTATCAGCAGGTTGTGTTTTTTTAAAATTACTGATTAGTATTCCATTGTATTGATTTATCACAATTTTATTTATCTAATCATTGATGGGCACAGCATTTTCATTTGTAATAGCCCCAAATTAGAAATAATGCAAAGTGTTAAAAATGCTGTGAACATTTGTGACTAGACAGTGTGGACTTTTTTTTTTTTTTTTTTTTGAGACAGAGTCCCACTCTGTTGCCCAGGCTGGAGTGCCCTCTTTCAGCAGGAAGTAGCCAGATAGACTTGACACCCCTCTTCACTACACTATTTTCTCTTTCTTGAGACCATGATATGCAGCAGGCAGACATGAGCATGGGGGAATATAAAGGGTCCAAGATATTTGTCAGGGGAAAATGAGCAGAGCAAAATCACCTGGTGACCATCCAGCAGGCCCTGGAGACAAAAACTTCTTATCTGAGGATTTCAAAAGTAATTAGACTTCCCTATTATCTAACACAGGCATCTGGTTCCAGTTTTTTTCCCCCTAAATTTATAACTAGAATTTCTATACATCCCTCTTGAATGCATGCATATCAAAACTCATTGTGTGACCCTTGCTGACATTAAGGCACCAGAATGTCTACAAATGTAATATTTATCATGACCTACATGGCTAATATGGTCCAAATTGCTTGTAAGCTCCCACTTTAAGGTCCATAAATATCCCTAAGGAAAAATTCACCGTGGCACACTCAGTCCTCTCTTGCTGAGGCACCCCACTGCACTCTTCTGCAGCATTCTATTTAATAGAAGTTTCCTTTTTAAACCTATACTGTTGTCTGTAAATTCTTCTTACCAACCCAAGAGTTGACCACTTTCTGATGCAGGGGCTCTGACACCTCACTCGGTGTCATGCCTATGGCGTGAGGTAGGGTTGATGTTCATTTTTTCCCCCCGACAGGTACTGAGTTCATCCAGCACAATTTGTTGAAAAGACTTTCCTTTCCCTTTGGAATTGCTTTAACACTTTGTCAAAAATCAATCAACCCTGCCATGTGTGGATCCACTTCTGGACTGCGTTCCATTGATCTTGGTGTTTATCTTTTCACTGATACTAAACTATCTTAACTACTATTGCTTACAGTAAGTTTTGGAATCAGGTAGAGTACAAGTATCCCAACTTGATTCTTCCTTTTAAAAGTCACTTTGGTTACTCTAGTTCCTTTATATTTCCATCAATTAAAAAAAAAAAAAGCCTGGCATAGTGATATGTATTGGTGCTCAGTGAACATGTATCATTCTTGAATAAATGATAAGAAGATTAAAATGGATTGCCATGTGTAACTAAAATGACAGAAACTGAATATGTGATTGTTCAGGACAACCACAAATCTGGGGTCACATAAGAAGCCATTGACTAACGTACCCAAGAACTAAAAATCTGAAACGATCGGTGGTTTGTGCTAAAGAGTCAAGGGTGTTAGACAAAGCTACCCATCTCCTTGGTTATTATTTCAAAACACTGAATCAGACGAGTTATGAATTGAGATTTAAGAATTACCAGGAGTTAACTAGGTGAATAAAGGGGAACAGATATTCTAGGTAGGGCAAACCTGTGCAAAGGCTGTGAGTCACAAAAGAACAGATGGTGTGTTTGGAATGGGTTGTCACTATTAAGGCACTCAGCTATTTTTTCAGGGGCAAATTAAAAACCAGTGGTGGCTTGGCATGGTGGCTCATGCCTGTAATCCCAGCACTTTGGGAGGCCAAGGCTGGTGGATCACTTGAGGTCAGGAGTTTGAGACCAGCCTCGCCAACATGGCGAAACCCCTTTGCTACCAAAAAAAGAAAAAAAAAAAAACCAAAATTAGCTGGATGTCATGGCTCATGTCTGTAATCCCAGCTTCTTGGGAGGCTGAGGCACGAGAATTGCTTGAATCCGGAAGGCAGAGGTTGCAGTGAGCCGAGATCGTGCCACTGCACTCCAGCCTGGGCAACAGAGTGAGACTCCATCTCAAAAAAAAAAAATAATAATAATAATAATAATAATAAATAGTGGTTCATACTAATGAATAATGGCTGAATAGTGGGGCTGAATATCTGCTTGTCATCTCCGGCCACCAGAGGAAGGGTCTATGCCTTCCATCTAATAATTCCAGGCCCCAGTCACACAGTGATTGACATATAGTAGATACTAAGTAAATATTTACTTATTGAGAGAACAAATGAATGAATGAATTATTGGTTCTACTTGGCTGGAGAGTAAGACTGATCCAAAGCCTTTAATGAATGTGAGAAGAGTCCAGGAAGTCAGTTAAAGCCATGTCAGGGGAAAGAAGATATATGTCTCAAAGATGCAGCAGTTTTATTCAAGGGGGGAGTATTATAATGTAAGATAACATAAGAATGAACCTGAATTATTTAAATTATGGCCATTTGATTATGGCATGGGGTTATATATTTTAGAAAACTTTATGTGAAAATTATTGAAGTTATCTAAATTCACCTTGAAAATGTTATAGTAGTCTTATATTTAAAAATCTAACCGTTAACTTTAATTCCCATGAAGAATCTAAATTCTGATACAATGTTTGCCAGGGACATTTTTGTGTGGTTGCCAACTCTGTAGCATGGCCAGGGTTACAGATGGAAGTGATCTGCTCAGCAGATGGGTCATAAATTTGTTGATACTGGATTCATTTTAAGCTGCTGCTAAGAAATAAGAAATATCCAGAGGTTATATCTCAACCATTTGGAAAATTACACAAGGGGGGATAACTGTCACTATCTTTTTTTTTTGAGATGGAGTCTTACTCTGTTACCCAGGCTGGAGAGCAGTGGTGCAATCTCGGCTCACTGCAACCTCCACTTCCTGGGTTCAAGTGTTTCTCCTGCCTCAGCCTCCTGAGTAGCTGGGACCACAGGCGCCTGCCACCAGCCCCGGCTAGTTTTTGTATTTATAGTAGAGATGGGGTTTTGCTATGTTGGCCAGGCTAGTCTTGACCTTCTGGCCTCAAGTGATCCTCCTGCATCAGCCTCCCAAAGTGCTGGGATTAGAGGTGTGAGCTACCGCCCCCCGCCCCCCGCCTTTTTTTTTAAGATGGAGTCTCGCTCTTGTCACCCAGGCTGGAGTACAGTGGCGATCTCGGCTCACTGTAACCTCTGCCTCCGGGGTTCAAGCGATTCTCCTGCCTCAGCCCCTTGAGTAGCTCGGATTACAGGCGCCCACCACCATGCCTGGCTAATTTTTTTTGTATTTTTAGCAGAGACAGGCCTTCACCATGTTGGCCAGGCTGGTCTTGAAATCCTGACCTCAGGTGATCTATCCACCTTGGCCTCCCAAAAGTGGTGGGATTACAGGCATGAGCCACTGCACCTGGCCCAGCCTCTCTTTTACAAGACAATTCTTTGTATGTCTGATCAGAGACAGAGTACTGGGCTGAATGGGTGATTGTCACATCCGGGCCCACATGAGATTAGGTAATGGATTCCAAACCTTTTTTTATTTTTTATCCTTTTGTTAATTGCTTTTGCTACAAAATGAAGTCAGGATAGAAGAGTTCTGACTGGTCCCTTCTTTATTTGGCCTTTATAAACCCATGGATCCTTGTAAGTGAAATTCTCTCATTCACAGTGCTATTGACAGGGCAACCCTATGTGGCCCATGATTTATACCAAGGGACCCTGGCTCTCTCACCACAGCCAGTTGGACCACAGGTGGCACTAATCTACATGCTAGCCAGTCACCTGTTATATAGCTTCCTTGTGAATAGATGATCTAGGGTTTCCAGATCCTTGTAGGAATCTGAATGGGGAACGTAATCAAACAGTTAGCAGTAGGCACTAAAACAGAAAGACTGGAATGAGATAGGGAAGGAAACATTCAGGTTCATACCCAGGTTCTGAGTAAGCAGTATTACAAAATAAGCAGGCGCTATGAAGTGGAGAAAAGATTAAGTTCTCAAGTCAGTATACTATGAAAATAAGCATAATCAATATTACCCTTTAAAAATTTGTTAAATAACTTACAAGTAGTACAATCACATAGTTTTGTGAGGTTCTCCTGTATACATGGACATTCAGATTGTTTTAAGGGATTCACTTTTTCACTTGCTAGGTCCTCAACTTTTATGCTGTATTTGTATCTAAAAGCGGTGATATAATATGTTCCTGCCTCCTCCTCTTCCACATTGCAAAAGAAAGGTACACATCTCACTCATCCAAATCTCATAATAGTGCATTGTCTTGAGGTATAAAAACCTCAAGGTACCAAAGTGCCATTTTTAAAAAATGGTGTTGGAAAGACCAGGTAAAATTTCCTTTTGCAAGTCAGGTGGTTTCCAATGTGCTGCTTTCAACAAAATAGGTGAAGGACCTAACCAAATTGTCCACTGAGAGATCTTTAAACATAATTTTTTTTTTTTTTTTTGAGACAGGGTCTTGCCCAGGCTGGAGTGCAGCAGCCTCTGCTTTCTGGGCTCGAACTATCCTCCCACCTCAGCCTCCCAAGTAGCTGGGACTACAGGCATGTGCTATCATGCCCAGCTAGTTAGTTTTGTTTTTTGTAAAGACGGAGTCTTGCCATGTTGCCCAGGCCAGTGTTGAACAGCTGGGCTCAAGTGATCTTCCCACCTTGGCTTCCCAAAGTGCTGGGATTACAGATGTGAGTCACTGCACCTGGTAATTAACCATAATTTTTGATGAAAGCTCACCAAGTCATGTTAGCATGTAACTTGGAAGTCTTTTAAAGAATTGTCACACTGCTATAACAAAACTTTGAGATCCATTTACTCACATAAAGGAGGTTTCTCAATACATCTAATAAAAAAATAGGGATAGTATTGATGCTAAACTGTCTCATTTTATAAATCATAAACAGCTATATGAAGTAATTGCTAAAAAGACACATCATCTCATCAAAAGACATAGTTATAATAAAATGCTACTTTTTGTGTTTAATACTTATCAATATTTATATCTGTTATTTTGATATCAGTTATGTCCTAAGA